CCCATTCGTTCTCACCAAGAATCTCAAACAGATTCTCCAAACAGAAATTCCACCCCTTTTCTCTGGAAATCAAACATCTTCATAAAACGTTCTTTTGCTATATTGATCTCATGCTTTTCTCTTCTGTAGTCCCATGTACTCGGGTGCACTTCATTATAGGCTGTAACAGAGTAAAATTGAGTTCTGGTGATTTTGGCACGTTCTCATAAGGCCATTCACAAGCGTGAACCTTCATTTGAAGTTTTTGTACAGATAGTAATCAACTCTTGACTCTCACCATTCAGCAGTTCATACGCCCCTTCCCCCCCCCCCCCCCCCCCATTCTCGAAATTTTCATCAGGCTTTCAGGGCTTGAACCCAAAATCTAGAGAGCAGCGTTACCATGAAGCTACGGTCAAATCAAATTAGAAACTTTTTCTTACCTTCCCCATCCGCCTTCTCACTTCCCCTCCCCCAGCTTTTATGCTACGAGCCAGTAACCTCAAGTGAAACTTCGTGCACAGCTATATTCCTTCTCTGTGCTCAGAAGTTAGCAGTTAGATGCTGTTAATTACTATCCTTAGTGTTCAGTCTGAGGGTGGGAAATGAGGAATTCGGGTGTTAGAGCTCCCTTTACTTTTCCAGGCTACAATTTCCCATTGCCAATCCAGAAATACTTTATGCACGAATGATTGAAGTCACAGAACGCAAGAGGAGATAGAACGTCCAAACACTCGAATCAACCATGCACTAAGGCATCAGTCTTCATTCAAGCGGCAGATTCTGTAACTGCGCCTTTGTCGTCGACCAGTTTTCTTTAACAAAACTTAGAATCCTATGGAAATGGTCTATACTGGAACTCCTATCTGAAATCGTTTGCTCATGAACCGATATAAAGCGAGCAATGTTTCTAGAAAGTGCCTTTTCAGCAAAAAACGCGAAACTTGAGCCTAGGCTCTCGTCCTTACCTCTCAGTTCTCATCTCATGCGGAACGAGGCTTCAAATGCTAGCTTTTCCCTTATTTTCTGTTCAGCGACTTGATTCTTGTGTAGCCAATTACTAATTGAATTACACTCCGTGAACATGAAGTCGACAACGTTCATTCAGGAGCTGTCTCCTACGTGTATGAAAGGAGCATCGAAGATGTCAGCTCTAGAGCGATTGCTTTGCGTAAGTGCTCGTGGCAGCATCGACTTTGGCAAATCCGGATTGGTAGGCACTTCACACTCAATATCATCAAGATTTATATTAGCGCAAACCAGTAACGTTCCCTTCGAATCGATTTTCGAGAAAGCAAAAAAAAACTTGAAGGCCCTCGAATCGATTTTTCACCACAATAGGCATCCAAATTCGAGTAGGTTGCATTGATTTTTCTAGAGCTCTTGGAAAACTGATTACGATTAGTAACATCTTGACCTTTCATCTCTGATTTAGTCGAAAACAAAAATTTTTAAAAGCCAAATGAATCACATCAGTTTTTTGAGCAAGTGTTCTTTCTGCCCATCGACTGAGGCTAATCTGTCTGTACATCTACTCACCCACTACCTGCTCCTCAGCCCCTATTTTTAGAGTTTGAGAGCCCTTAACTGTCAAATTTGGGTAATCCCATTTATTTCACCGAAAATTTCACCGCACTTTACGCTATTTCGGGAAGAGCCTATCAAAACATACAAGGCGGTTCTCCAGAACCCTATCATTACCAGAGTACTTAGTAGTGGCAGAGTCCATTGAGAAATCCTACGGCTGTCATTTGTAAACATATGTAAGGCGAAGTCTTCATCAGTGGATGATTCATAGCCGCTTTCGTCAGGCAGCCAGTCCCTGTAATGTAGCCGATAAGCCATGATATGTCCTGAGAATTAATGGAAATATGAAAAAGGAGATAAAGGAAGGGACGAAGAAACGAAGAGGAAGAGAGCAGGAACGGAAGAGTCTCTTGGTCTTCATACGCTTATTCCCCTTATCATGATTAATTTTCTTCTCACGCCCTTCTTCATTCACTCCTCGTCCTTTCCCTTCATCTCGGAAATCGATAGTCAAGACCCCACGCGTTTAATCGATATGATCAGTCCTTTGAATAATTTCAACTTTGTTTTGCCCAGAAGGCATAAACACGGATCGGAGTTCCTGAAACAGCCTACTTCTGCTCTTCCTTCTGATCTTCAACCGGTAACCCTTGAAGAATTTAATGTTTTGAAGCTGTTGTGGAGGACTTTTCATTATGACCGGCTTTAATGAAATTTTCGAACCATTGTTGCCTTTGCCGATCGACTGTAGTTACCTACCTCATATCTTCTTTATACACTACTTGCTCTTCACTCTCTACATACCCTGGGGGTCATGAGGACCCTCAGCTGTCAAATTGGAAACAATCCGCGCCTGAGTGAGCTTTAAAATGTCAATGTTAATTAATGTTTCAGTTTTTCGATGACAAGTCTGAATGCTGCTCACGGTTTCTGAAAGCAGCTGCCATATTCACTTCATAATCCTTTATTTTGTTTTCATTTTGTTTTTTATTTTATTTTTTTATTTTACTTATCCTTTATTTTGTTATGAAAATTTGCAGTTTTTTGTTTCTGACGGCGGATTTTGACCCTTGGTACGTTAATGAAGATAATCGATATTTCTGTTTAGATTTTTGATAATTCCTCTTTTTGCTGGACATTTGAATTTGATATTTTATAGTAACGATATACACTTCTCTTAAACCGTGGGAAGGCTCGAGACCCAGTCTTCAATATATGTCGGTTTTTCTACTGTCGCGATAAGAAAACAGGCCTCTAAAGGCACAATTTGCAAATAAGGATGGTTTTCGCGCCCAGATTTGGACGAGTTTTAACGGAGTTGTGGAGACTGACCATTCACAAAGGACAACCATGTTGGAAATTCAAACATCATTTCATGGCCCATTACGACAGTGGAAGGCAATTTGTGGCATTTCGGCTCAATATAGCCAGCTCCTCGCGCAATTTCAACGACTGAAATCTCGTCCAAATACTCACTCATTAACATTTTTGTCATGGTTATCTCGTACAACCTCCGCTTTCATCACTTTTAGGAGGTCTAATACTTTACGAGTTTTGCTTTCTTCGCGATCAATGCACTAGTATTCACCGACACCTCCGATTTTCAGCTGATGTAGAGTACGTCAAAACTATCGTGATCTGTGCGGTTAGATGGACCGTATTGCACTTCATATTAAGACCCTCTACAGCAATCTAGAGGAACCAACAGCTAGTTTGCCAACTGTGGAGCTAAAAGTTCATAGAGAGCAGTGTTGAGCTACAGTATCAATGCGGGATACTCCTCGTTGCTGCAGCAAACTTGTTCATCATCTCCTCTCAAGAATTGCTACCACAAAGTTTGCTACCACAAATTTGGGCAGAGGTGGTGTAGTCGCAAGTAGCACACTACATGAAACGAATGGCCACTTATTCGAGTCCTGGATCGAGATCCGCCTAGACTAAGCCTTACATCTCTCCGGAGTCAGTCAATTGGTACCACACTCGTCTAGGAGTATTAGAACACTGAGGCTTAAGCAAGCCATTGTATAGGCCCCATACGCATTCAATATGTCACTACTATCCTGTATGGAAGTCGAATGCGTGGGCTCATCCCTCAGATGAGATTGATTAACACCACAAGACCTTATCCTTCGATCCTTTTACCACAGAATTCATAGACTTGGCTCAGGCTCAGTGGATGCAACTGAGATATCGTAGCTATCGTAGAACTTTGGAGTTTGGCCTCATAACAACAGCAGTACCATGACATCTTTGGCCTGTTTTTGAGCTCACACCGACCGGCAACAAAAAATGATGCAATGTGTACATTTTTTGACTTTTGATCGGAGAGCGGGCTCCGGCGAGTAGGTGTAGTGATGGCATCGAGCGCTTGCAATTCGATGCTCAAACATTCCGCTCAGTTTTTTGTCCCGACCCCGAACAATGCGCTGTAGCATCATATCTCATTAACTCTAACCCCTTCCCTCCCCTCCAATAGCTAGTTCGAAGAGGTTTTTAGCTGAGCGAACTAGATAACTTGATGGTTATTGACCAATCCATGACCTTCCCTATCGAATCTTTCCCTCGGTCAGGGCCAATCATTTGCCGTCTCACTCTGCCGCGACACAGACTGAGTTTGATTGTTTCTCCTCATTGATCTGTAGCATTCGTTTTTATGCGTCACTGGCGATTTCTTCTTTCTTTCATAAGTTTCTGACTTTATTTTGATTATGACTAATGAAATAGGGCTCGGTGGAATTGCTTCGTCATCTCCGCCTTCTTCCTTCCTTCCGACAGTCAGGCTTAGTCACTGACCATGCTTTTCGACATCGCTCTCAAAGACGTACTTCATTGCGTGGATGAACTGCAATGTGTCAGACCTCCACGACCGGTATCGGATTTCGAAAGGGTGCTTTTTATTGTATTACTTATTACGTAGTGTACTGCTTCTTGAAACTTTCGTTGTACTTCGAGCTTCGCACATACAAGAAGCTTAGGCTCAGGCGAGGCAGACGACCACACTTTCCTGTTTCGAAAGAGCGAAAAACGAGGGGTCCCACTTCTTTCCTTTTTCCACGTCTCATTCATGCACATTCATCAACTGTAGTTTTTGAAACTACATAAACTCATAAATGGAAATATTTAGCTGATAGCCTCGTGGAACTCGCTGTCACAAGGCGTTTACGGTATCTGATTTCTTCGGGGTAACCTTATGAAAAGCCTCATCAGAAGGCTACCGTATAGAGAGTCAGGGGAATGATGAAGTCCAAAATCCCTATCAAAAGATGTGTTCAAATTGATGCAAGCACTGAACTGCTAGTAAGTCCACCCGTATTAGAGCCAATGGTTCGAAAATTTCACTTCACTCACAAAGTTTTCCTATAAGTTACCTCATGAGGTTTCCTTATAAGGATTCTTATAAGGATTAAGCTCAAAAAATCCTGCGGATCATCCTTCCTTATCGATATAGTAAGTAATGACTGAGCTGAATAGAAAGAAAACTTTGCGCAGCTTAAGATGTTTGTCACCCTTTAGGTTTAATGTTTGTGTGATAAACAAATTCCTTCAGATCCCATCAATACTTGCGAGTGTGCTTTTATTTATGATGTTTCCAGATCCAGGAGCGATGTCGTCCTCTGGTGTTATCTGATGAACAGTTACGCGAGATTATGGTTGCCTTGGAGAGGAGCATGGAGGAAGGATTGGCGAAAGAAACAGGTTCATACATCTGCCGAAGATTATCAAAAGAAATAAAGAGACCTCATTTACAAAACCACAGGGTTCATGTTGCTCCGGTGCAGAACATGAACACAATGTACATTCTCTGAAGATATTGAGTAAAAACCCATTGAGCATGTAGGACACTTCCTTTTAGCCAGTTTGTCTCATCAAAAAGGATATCAATGCACTGTTCTACTTTGGACAAACCGAGCTGAGGTGGGTATTAAATTTGAATGCCATCTAAAAGTCGTCGCCGTTTGGTCTTGTCGACGGGGCTGAGGAGCGCAGCGCCCGATCTAGATTACCCGAATAGAATTTGACAGCAAGCTTATTCCACCTAGACTAGTCTACTTGCGATGGTACTCGGGAAGCTCCTTCGTCTCAGGTTCAGTTCATAGCACCAGGTTGTAACAAGACCTCACTGTTTTTACCAAAAATGGGCATGGTTTTATTTTGTATTCCTTGATGAGCCCGCCAGGGACGTTCTACTGTGACCAATGGATAAGTCGCTCTGAGGCCCTCCAAGTATGCAGGAAAGGAAGACTCCCTCACAAGTATGATCTGTATCGATACTTCTCTGAAGTGATATACGAAAATCATAGCAGTGCACGCACGCACGCATCCAAGCTCGGATGCATTGCCTGGGGGAGCAGGACTTTAAACTTTCTAAATTATTAGATGAAGCACATTCAACTGCTCATTCTGCTCGTTTAGCAAAGACAGCCGCTGTGAAAATGCTTCCGTCGTATGTTCGAGCAGTGCCTAACGGAAAGGAATGTGGAGACTTTATGGCGCTGGACCTTGGCGGGACTAATTTTCGTGTGCTACTAATCCGATTAAGCGGCCGAGAAGCGGAAATGACTGGCAAGATTTTCCGAGTACCCGAAAGTATCATGCGTGGAACGGGAGAAGCCGTGAGTTTTAAAAGCAGTGAAAAAGGCAGAACTAGATTGTAGCTGGCAGTGGGGAAGTTTTAATAACGTCCCTTAGCTGGTTATAAGATCCTGTAAGATTTGCTCTGAGAATAGATAATTATGGTGGTAAAGACGTTGTGTTGTGAGCATTGCATTAATAATAGGTTTTCTATTAGCAAACGGCAGGTGGCTTGTACAGCTTCTATTTCGTTTCTGTCTTCAGTAAACAATTGACAGCACTTTTACTGGGCTCGTTTGTAATCAGGGGTGACATGTAGTAGCATGATAGACATAAAGGCAGAAATACAGGAGGCGGATTCCAGGTGAAAAGACCTTGCTCGTACCGTTCTTGATGATCGGGGATATTTCCAGAATTGCTGTACTTACATGTTTTTCATCTCTTACTCAGAAGTTGATATGATTCCTGTTCAACTCATCATTGATCTTCATCTTTCTGTCATTTCCCATCTCCTTAGGGTGCTTCTCCTTAGTGTAAATCCAGACTAGCTAACTAAATAAGGCTAGCTTGACAGTTGGCACTTGCTCTTTACGCACTATTATGGTTAGGTCTCTTGTTTTTTATTCTTCATAGATATAATATTCATCATCAGCACTTCCATTCCTAAACCTTCTACAAAGAGCCTTTCTCACAACATCATCTCATCGTGGACTATGCCTTTAGTGTCTGTTTCAGGGCTTTCATCTGAGTTAGAGAAATTATCCCAATATTCTCATTACGGAGACGTCATTTAGATGTTAGGTGGTTACAGGCAGCGTTAGATGTTGGGAGTACCCCGAATTTTCCAATTTGAAGGTGTTCTCGGTCTTATCATCAATAAATAATAAAAAGAGAGAGTAGTTTGTTGCATATCGTTCTGCTTTCAACTGCCTCCAACCTTCTTCAACAATCCGCTCATACTATTCGCGATAGCTATTGCTCGGTTAGGCTTTTCAACAGTATCCCTCTTCGTAAGGTGGTGACAGTAAGAGGTGAACGACCAACTCTCGAGATCGAATAATTCTTCATGTTGAGGTGGATGGAGAAAATGAAGCATGCATATTGTGCGTATCTTTGGCATCTCCTCTGCAGTTGTTGCGCACTTTGAAAGACGGGCCTTTTCTTCGGGTACTGTTTGCCGGAAATGTTCGCTGGTGCCCTCTCCGAATGTACCTCCCATCGGACCGTAGACTCTAAGATCTGCTATCTGAACTCGCTGCAAGCGAAGCTCCTTCCGAGAAAATCATTTATTCAATGGCAGAGCACTCACCACCTAGATTCTGTGCATAGAAAATAAATGCATGACAAGGCCGGTGCTCTCTGGCACAGGATATGATATGCTACACTTGCATGATGGGAAATATGTGGACAGTAAACGCATAGTTTAAGGGCACAAGCCATTACGTCTTTCCACCAGCCATGTCTGTCCGAGATTGCACGGATTCTTTTAAACGGGAACATGAAACAAACTAGAAGATGTGGAATATTATCGAGCGTGGATGCCTTCCTTAAAAACTTTTGAGACTCTTCATATTGTTCTTTTTTCTTGGATCCACGACAGGGTGAAAATGTAGTTGGGGGTTGCCAGCGCCCCTCCGTCACGTTACTCTGCGTCTCTGACCCATGTGGCAGATTACCCAGAGCGCGGATATGTCCTCTTAATAGTGATAGGGAATGAACTCTTTAACAAGGGGAGGAGCTCCGGGGTGGGTGAGAAGTAAGTGCAAGGACAAGAGGAAGTTGCGATAAAGTAGACAAGAGTGGAATGGGTTGACTGCAATAAAATGATTGCGACCGTGGACGCACTGCACGCGTCGACTAAAGTTGTTATTAAAGAGCTATTCTAGATCATTTCAACTTTTTGCACAACGTTTACTTCTCACCCACCCCGGAGCTCCTCCCCTTTTTAATGAATTCATTCCCTATCACTATTAAGAGGACATATCCGCGCTCTGGGTAATCTGCCACATGGGTCAGAGACGCAGAGTAACGTGACGGAGGGGCGCTGGCACCCCCCAACTACATTTTCACCCACGACAGTATCACTTGTTTGAAGGCTTGCAAACCAACCCAAAAAATATGGGAATCTCACCCTCCATCTTCGATAAGATGGTATCAATCGTCCGTTTTGCACCGAACACTTTTAGAGGACCTCGTGTTTGAAAATTATGAGACTCTTCACCATACTGCCCTACTAATGACTAATGAACTTACTGTCACGGCAACATATCCTTTTTACCATGTTGTCTGATGGGGAGTAGACTTACTGTTCCGCCGCCCTAGCCAAGAATTCACATTTTCCCTCTCAATCGCCTGTTTACTTCGTCTTACGAGGCATGCTTGTCCTATGTGTCTTGGTTAAGGGCTCTTTGATCATGGTTCTCCTCATTCCTGCTTTTGGTCTCAGAACTAACGCTCTTCTCATTCCTTTGGAGTAACGAAAGCCCAGCACTGTTCACCGTTCAATTTTCTCCGGATTGTAGCAAGCTAGTTGATTTCCTATGCATCGGCAGGTGACTTTGGGACTGCTTTGTTCAGAGGTCTCGCAATTAGTGTAAGATACGGCTTCTGTCTTGAGAGGTAGTCATCAAAGTTCTGAGCCCATAGTCGAGACCACCATTTCTGTCGAGGTCACTGCACGACAGAATCCGACACAGTACTAAGGAGTCAATGAATTATCCGAGAGTATTACATAAGCTGCGCCGGATTGGGTTCTAAGCTTATTTTTTGATTACCCGCAAGCCACTATATTCTCAATTATTACATTTGCGCATTCGAGTTGAAAATAGGGCAGAGCTCAAAAGGCACTCGATTTGTTCTATTTTGCGAGAAGAAGTAAATAGATGTTAGCTTTTTTACTACGCCACCAACTTTCTAGCTGTGTACTTCCTGTGGTGACTTGCGATAGATAATTGGTTACGAAGAAAATGAAAAAAAGTCTTAGCAAATTCTCATCAACAAACCATACGTTGAACTCTTTATTGGTAGACCGATTTCAGCTTTTCGATCATATCGCTGAATGTATGGCGAAGTTCATGGTCGAACAAGGTGTGAGCACCTCTCAGAAGCTACCCCTTGGCTTTACCTTCTCATTCCCGTGCAAGCAAGAAGGTTTAACATGGTGCGTGTTCTTTATTCATTGGACTATAACTTCGCTCATTACGAGTTGTACTAGCTGTAGACGGTGGTATGTACCAGAAGCGTTTTCTGAGAAGCCCTAATTTTCTGTTTTCATTTGCTTGATCTTTGAGTATACTTCAAACTACTCAAATGAAAACAAGGCTTTCAAGCTTCTCTTCTTTCTGAATTGCCATAATTCCTGTACAACTAGTTATTTTTCTGTACATAGGTGTATAGGAGATGGGATCATTGTTGAGAGCTTTTTCGACTTCTTTTGACAACTTGCGGACGACGATTTCAAACGGCTGGAATCAAGTGCAAAACATTTCTTTAAAGCAAACGCTTTCGGCTCGAACATTTATGATATTGCAAACGTCCGCAAAAACCTTTTCTCTAGCAAAACGCGAAGCTTTTATTCGAAGCCACACCGAGCGCACTTTCAGGAAAACTCAAAGCATACTAGCAAAAAAGCAAAAACAGAAAGCACCTATTTGAAATTCGAAGATGAAAAATGAAGAAAAGGTCCTTTGTAGGCAGTCGTTGAGCCCAACCACCTTTTATTATATTTCACCCATTTTTTAGCTGAAAGGTGTACGAGTCTCGCTCCGGTTATATCAGAAGCTTGAAACTTTTCTTAATCTGTTTCACGTCATATTTTGTCACTCAAGCAACACGCCATGTTCCTACTCTGCATAGGAACGAGATTAGCACAACTGCCTGAAGTTCATTCAGGCTGATGTTTCCCTAATTTTCTGATTTGCAGTGCAAAACTCATAAATTGGACGAAAGGCTTCAACGCGAGCGATGTCGAAGGCTCTGACGTCGTAACGTTGTTAAGAGAAGCCTGTAAAAGACGAAATGTGAGTTGATTAGCTGATTCAGTTCAGAAACTGAGTGCTCCCTCTTTTTAGATGAAAACTCTAAAAAATTCTCATTCCGTGCTTTCTGATTTTATTTAAAGGTTCATTACATTTAGGACATCGACATCGACGTGGTTGCTGTTCTGAACGATACCGTCGGCACACTTATGGCATGCGCTTTTAAGGAAAACAGTTGTCAGGTAGGCTATGGCTTCATCTGTTATGGGACTTGCAAAGCCTCAAGAGCGGAAAGACGAATACTCCGACCAAAGACTGTATTTGCACAGTAGATGGGAACGTTCCGAAACGAAGTAAACCTGGGGCTCTCACTGTGAGAGGAAGCCTTTAGCAAAGTATTATCACGGCCGGAGTAAGATGTGACACGCTTGGGTGTGCGAGGGAATTGTGGATCTAGAAATCTTTATTATTCGAATAGAACCTTACCTTGAAAAGGTTGAAGGTATTTTTCGGGAAACTCGTACGAAAGTTGAACGAATAAGTTTAGCGTACGCTTACAAAAAAAGATCATGCGATTAAGGACATGCCGTTGGCTTCTGTGCCCTCCCTCTCCCTTCTGTACTCTACAATGTCCCTGGAACCTGCAGACGAGACTCACTTCTGAGCTGCATAACTTTTCCCTAGGGAAGGGAAGGAAGATCACATTTGGCAGAGCGCGATGCGCAACCATAGTATTGAGAATACCTTCTGAATCTTCAACTATGTGAATACTCCAGCAGTAGAACGCAATCTATATCATTTGGGTTACGTTTTCGACTAACGTGTTCCCAAAAATGATCTTCATGACATCAAAAGAAGTTGCTACTTACAGTAGAAGTGCAAAATGATAGGGTACTATTCAGGCAAACCTTAAAAATACGGAGCAGACGATTCTGCAGGACTTTGATCTGCTTTCTATACATACATATACTTCAATTCAATCCAGTTTTAGTCGAATAACAGAAGAACCTACCCTCCACATCGCTAACGAACCACCTCCAATATTTCTGAAATCGCTTTCTTCGTTGAACCCTCGAATAGTGCGCTGCATTACCTAATCCAGCGAGAGTGAACTTCTTTCCTTCAAAATAAGAACCCCAAATAGGTCCAAAACCTCTCTTTCTCCGACCAAATTTGATTGAGTAAATGTGTCTCATGAAAGGGGCAGTTCTCTGACACCCTTCATCGATGTCCATTCTACCGTTCGATAAGATGGAGAGGTTGCGAGCTCGCAGCACACAGAACTAGAACAGTTTCAGTAGCTATAGGTCCCAACAAATTATGATCATCTTGCTGAGGGAGATGTCTAGAAGAAGTCTTTGAGTTTCGTATTTTAGTAATTTGTTACTAGTGCTGTAGGGGTTTTTCAGGTGAATCATGGGGAATACTTTTCGTAAAGACATATGTTTAGATTGGTGTCATCGTGGGAACTGGAACAAACGCTTGCTACATGGAGAAACTGTGTCGCATTGGAAAACTGGAAGGAGAAATGCCTGAAGACAACCTGCCCGATGAGGTATAACTAAAAAGCTTTGAGTAATCATCGTTGTGGAGGTTTTTTGTAATGGCGTCCAGGATGGATTACAATCTATCAAGAGGGAGAGTTAGTTGTGAAAAAAGAATGAATTTAAAGCCGAACTCGGAAAAATCAGACTCCCACAACATGCTAACTGGGTGCTTCAAGCCCATGGTCTTGCATACTGATGGAGTTCGTTTGCTATTGACATATTTCATGGCATTCGATGATCACTTCTAGGAGTTGAACAAAAACAATGAGAGTGTAAGGCTGCCGGGGTGTTTTTCTCGATCACGTAGGATGCGCAACATTTTCAAAGCTCATCTGTGATCCAGAGCTAGTCTCTCCACGTGATCCTGGGCACCCCGAGGAATTGGCAAGTTCAACATTGCCATGGTTTTCCACATGCACAGGGTAAGCCGCGTCCATAGAATAGTCACAGAAGGGGTTAGTAGCAGGTGAGATGTGGATCGTTATTACATAAGGACTGTTCTGAAAGGGAACATATAATCCAAGGCAAAACAATTACAATAATCAGAAAAAATACTAGGTTGATGCAAAATTATTGCGGGTTTTTTTCCACAAATTTTACTTAAAGAAACGATAGAAATATTTAGGAGAGACATGTTCAATTAATTACTCAGGAACATATCCACCATCTTGGTCAAGCACTGCTTCCCATTTGCTAGGCAGTTGGGTTCCACAGGCGAAGAAGTTTTGAATTTTGGAGGCGATCCACGTCTTGACGGCGGCCATCAAGTCGTCCATTTCGTCGAAAGTTCTGTTCGTTAGCCAAATTTTCGATGGACGATTGACGTAATAACGCATAGGAGTGTCTGTTGGTGGATAGGACGAACGTAGAAGCAGACTCAATTCTATATTCGACTTGGGTCACTGTCCCATCGCCGAGAAGTTCGTTGGGACCACTTTATGACTGTGCCACCTTCCAACCTTTCTCGAAGTAACAGAGCATAACGTGGCCTATATGAAGATGACTTTTTAGGCATAATTCTGTAGGGAAAAGCAAGGAGATTGTTCAATTAAATCTCGAATTCAATATTCATATTGTATCGAGAAAAAAGAAGCCGTGAAAGAATCTGCAATAATTATGCATCAATCTGTCAGAAAGAAGCGCAAGCGGACTTTTCAGGCAGCGATAAAGATATGGAGTTTTTGAAGGAACGCACTGATCTTTTTCCTCAAAGCTCTAACGCAGAGAACGCAAAGCTGTTTCTATCAGGGCGCCTTGGATTAAATTTGCATTAGCGTATCATGTATTTTATAATAAAATCTTATCGAACGTTCTCTAATATATTTTTCACCGTGGACTCACACGATTCAGACACAAAGGTTCTTCAATTCAGAATGACGAAGAAGAAAATTCAAACCATGATCTTTCTAAATTAAGAGCCAAAAAAAACTACAGCTTCCGAATTTTTTGTGATAAACATAGTAAAGGCTAGCTAATAAGTTCACTCGTCAGCAAAATCATATTTCTAATATATTGACAAGGTGAAAAGACCTCACAACAAAACACAGAAATCGTTAATCGTTGTTAGAAGTAATCGCATGGCTTCGCAAATTTTTGGTCTTTAACTTTTGCTCTCTGAAACCCTTGAACTGCAACACGAAATATTATTCAGTTGATTACAATTTTTGTTCCCACGATCGAAGTAGATCTTCAAAATCTTATTCAGATGATTATCAATACAGAATGGGGCGCCTTTGGCGACGATGGAGCACTGGATAGTGTACTAACAGAATTCGATGCTCAAGTCGACTCGCTGAGTATCAATCCCGGCAAACAACTGTAAGTTCGTTCCGCAGCTACAGCCCTTTTGAAAGCTAAAATGGGGCGATGAATCTGTCGGAACGTCATCAGTACTAAAGACTTTAAACATTAAGGTTTGAAAAAATGATCTCGGGAATGTATATGGGGGAGCTAGTGAGAGTAGTGCTGGCTTCACTAGCAGCGGATGGTCTGCTATTCAATGGCGAATACGAAGCCATATCCCGCCACGGATGTTTCCCGACAAAATTCGTTTCTGAGATTGAGAGGTAAGCGGCAGCTGCAACTTTTATCGTGTTCACTTAAGAATAAGCTTTTAGTGATCTACTCGAAGGAGAGGATGCAACATTCCAAAAAACCTTCCAAATATTAGAAGACATTGGGATTGAGCGTGTGTCAAGTGCTGACTGTGCCAACGTAGCCTATACTTGCAGCCTTATTAGCACCAGGTGAGCTAAGTTTCCAAAAGATTATGTAAGTCGTACTTATTCATTATTTTAGATAAGTAATATACACTCTATACATGATTTACAGAGCCGCTTATCTAACCGCTGCTGCAATTGCTACACTACTCAATCGTATGAAGAGACCCTACGTCACCGTAGGTGTAGATGGATCTGTGTATCGCTTCCATCCAACGTTTCCCCGTCTCCTAGACGAAAAGATCGACCAGTTGATAGACGGTGACTTAGAGGTATGATCTTAACTATTGAGGTTATTTTTCAAAGTAGACGCAATGGTGCAAACCACGTTAGTGAACATGGGCATTTCGCATTCACGAAGACTCACCATCGGTAGAGCCCAAACCTCAGCTACTACACATACCATGGTGGCAGTTACTGGATCTTTTTATATCTGGAGACATTGACAACAAAATCAGTGACGAGGGACTGTCTTGAAAGGAAAAGAATGGTTATAGGCGGTTTCTCGATTTTTTCAGTTGTCGTGGACCGTCGAGCACATGCAACTTCGCTTTTTGGGTGTCTTCCCTCAGCTGAAACTGCTGCTGTATTCGTCTTCAATTTCAATTTTTGAGGGCTATTGTTTCAGTACCAGTTGATGCTATCAGAAGACGGAAGTGGACGAGGTGCGGCGTTGGTAGCTGCCGTCGCTACTCGCATAAAACGGGAACGGCTCGGCCACGCTTGAACACGCTTACAGTCTGTGTGTGTAACTACTCACAAATTTAGCTCTGAAATCATAACTATTGTAGATATATCTAAGGCCTGTGAATGTAGTATTTTGTGAAACTGGTTAGGACCATCGATGATCCTTTATGGAATTGTGACTTATGTTTTGGGTCTAGTTTTGGGTAACAGATTTAGGACTAACGATAAGGTATCAATGATTTATTGTGATACTGGTCACTTAGTACGTGCTAATCATTAATACTAATGTGTTGACTAAGTAACTTTTAGGATGTATTCACTGAAAAGAGTGACTAGATATATTTACAAGAACCACCTTTGGACCTAGTAGTCCAACTGTGAATAAAGTATTGGAAACTGCTTCGACGTTCTGTATCCATATCCTCCTTCTGAGGGTTTTGCAGTCTATTGTCTGTGTTAAGGGTAGTGCAGAGCATGATCACGAATGTTCATCAAAACATGGCGAGTCCATCAAATCCACTTTTGTCGAATGGCGACAGGACCTTGCTTGAAAAAAGACATTGTATAATGATAGTATAATATTAGACACAATCCTGGAGAATTTGACACTGAAAAAGCTACTGAAAAGTGCCAGAGTCAAAATTTCATAGGTAATATCAAATTCCCCAGCCACAGAATGCACTCTAGTTGTTTGAAAAAAAGCGCACTAAGGGCGGGTACGCTTTTTATGTTCTTTCTTTTCGATTAACTGTTCATATTTTCAATATCAATTGTAGTACGATTCAACAGAACCAGTCGAACTCCCCTCCCATGAGGTCCCCCCTTATATTCGGTACCCATTCCATGTGGGCTCCCCTTCTATATGGCCCTTCTCTGTAATTTAAACTCCACGAAACAGACAAGGAAAGTAGGAAAGAGCTTACTTTCGAAGTTCTCTTGTCACAAAGTTTCCGGGGTAAACGCTAGCAATGGCTGTAATTGAATATACTCAGAACGCAAATTCTTTAAAAGCATTCAGTGAGTTCTAGATAGGGATTCAATCTAAAATAAGTAGAACATCAAGCTACTCAGCTCTTTAGATAAGTTCGATACCTATTCTCCCGGTTCGAACTATCTCTTCAGACGCTTGATTCAGATGTAAGTGATTTTTTTTTGTTTTACGAGAGCGAACCAAATTGCAAAAGCATGCTTAAGATAGAAAAATCGCTTCTCTTTTGCCAAATAGCTCCAGACGTTATGTTGTATCCCGTAACGGCATAGATTTTTAAAATGATATCAACGTCACTCAAAACGAAATTCCGCAGCATATCATGAAAGAATATATGGAACTTGCTTTACCTTCGCGAAGTGGTTAAAGCCTGGCCCGACTTACGTGGTGATTGGCGAATCCGATTCACAGATCGCTCCTCAATGATCTTTCTGAACCCTTCAGCAACCCAGAACCGAAGAGCGTACGTCTTGGTTTTCGATACTGAAAGGTCAGCTGTCCTCGAAATGTTACGCGAAAAGTCCGTCCAATTGATGCGTCTTAGCAGGCAAAACTTAGCATGATTTCAAGTGAGTTCACATCGCAAAAAGGTAGTTTGTTGAAGGCTTCTCGTCAACACTACAAGCTAGCCACAAACTCCACATGCTTCCAAAGTTCGAAGCGGATGCTCTTTTTCCAAAAAAAACTCAATAACGACGCTTCGCTAAAGTGAGCAATAGTCATCTTGAGATTTCTTGCTTATTCTGCAACTTTTTTCTTCGGTTTTTCCTCTGACGGTTCAAGTCCGTCAATTCTTTTATCATAGGGGGCAAGTCACCGTTTTTGGCGGCTGATTAATAAGTAATGCTCGCTTCACTCGAAACAACGCTGAATTTTTTTTACATATTTCAAACTTTTTGGAGAGAACCTATGGTTAGCATAATTTTATAATGCGGATTTTGAACGTCTTTTCTCGTTTCTGCAAAGTAACAATGCCGTTAAGTTCGAATCATGCACGACGCGATCCCTTTACGTGTAATACTCAGCAGACGAATCTGACGCTGCACAGGGAATAATGCAACAAACGAAAGGACCTGTCATCATAGGTCCAAAAAATTCCACGAAAGTAACTACAACCTTGAAGAGCCCACATTGAAGACAACAT